TCTCGCAAAAGCTGAAATATAGATATTTTAAGCCACTCACGCGCGATGTAATATTTGTGGATACTTTCTTTACACGAACCTGCTCGTATTTTTCTAATTCCTGATGATAAATTTGCCTAATCTGAGCTAGTTTAGCCCTGTAGTCCGAATGCTCGATCGCGTTGTCCGGTTGCCCGGGTGGACCGGCCGCAGCTGCCGCGGATGCCGATGCAGCGGCCCCCGCACCACCGCCCTTCTCTGGTCCAGCAACTCCCTCGGCGATCAGCATGTTATCCAGCCTCATTAGCTGCGGATCTGGCGGCTCCTCTTCTTGCGTGTTTCTCAGTGACAAAACTGAAAACAGACGAAAGCGCCACGTTGAAATTATATTCATACGAATGTAATATTAGAACAAAATAATTTTAATTCGCAAAGAATAAATTATTTTACGGGAATGTGACTTCTGAAATCACTCTGTATTTCTTGTATTTTAACTTTTATACTCGGAATTATTTAGAACGATTAATTTTCGATTTAAAGGATCTCGAAGAAGAGACAATAGGGAATACATCCGCATGTATTCGTGTAAAAGTAAAATGGGTTGCTTGCAAATCGATCCTAGTTCGGGGTCGCGCGTTTGTCGATCATAAAAGAATCAATTTTGCCTCTGGTCGTCGTCTTCCCAAGCGTCTCCGTCTGTCTTCTCGTCTTAAGGGCCCGTTGCACGCAGTGGTTTAGAACGGGTAGTTCTCCATGGTGTAACAGCGGTTTTATTGTACTTTTATGGCGCATGATGGAACTGGACGACCCATAAAACCGTAGAGCGAGGGACATTCTATACTCTGCCTTTCGTATACACCCCCCTCCCCCCCCCCCCCCAATCTTCGCGCGAAACTCCCTACTACCACGAAGATGTTAACCGTGTCGTCTTCGACAGTTACTAGACTACCCTCACCCGAGGCAAACGCTAGCATGCAAGCGAAACAAGAACTCTCAGCCTCTTTGACGAAGCGTCACGAGGAATCTCTTCGTCAGAGAAGACTGTATGTACTCTGCACGTCATGCAAGATATATACCTTGTGTAAACAGCAAGATTATATATCTAGTCAACCTAAAATCTTGACAAATTACGGCATAATGTAAAAACTTTTAAAAAGTTTACTGATTATTATCTTTGAAAAATTAAGATTGATTTTACGATAAAATTGTTTCATATTTATCATCAATTTTTTTTGCGAATATTTTAACATTATTTCTTACGTTTCTCTCGCTTCAAAATTTGAACGATAATTTCAGATTATTACGTTCCTTCGGCCTGGGTGTGACTTTATAAATGAATTCGCGTTTGCAATTGCCCAAGTCGCTATTTGAATTCGCTGAAAACTTTTCTCGTCCGCCACTTTTCGCCACAGCTCGCGAAAAAAGTCCCCGGAGACACAAAGGAAAGGGGAAACGAACGAGACTTCTCGTGGACTCGCGGAAGCGTGAAACGAATGCGCAGAGCTAATGCATTTATACGAAGTGTAACAATTATTATGCCAGTAGAACAGAGGGGCTAGACTTATGTTTCTTCGGCAAGACTCTAGGGGGATTCCTATAGAGAAGACGTGTCGCTTTAAGTGACAGAGGGAAACATTTCTTTAAGCACAAAATTACAAGACTCGTAAATAGCGTAATTTCTGCATTCTTGAAGCTAATTATCCTTGCGGTAATTTACAGAAAATATTGTTTACAAAAGAGCAAAATAAGATTTACGATATTAAATTTCGAAAACCGAGAATGAGTCTGTTATTTCTAAATTTCGAGCAAACGCTGATTCATTATTTCTTCAGCGACGTTTCGAATGAATGATGTTGAATCACGATGGAGAAGAAAGGTATCGTCAAATCAAACGAGCTCCGAGAATGAAGTCAAATAAGTTTCGAAATCGTAGCACGTTCCGCAGCACTTCCACGGGTGACTTAAGAAGGGGTTAACGACAGTCAACGCAGCCATTAAAACTTTCGTGCAGTGTCGAGAACTTTTCACGGCGCTGTGGGTAATTAAAAATGAAAAACCTCTGGACGGCGTCGCTCGCCGAGGGCGGTGGAATAAAACGCCGGTTTACGGCGGTGCGGAAGAACTTGCACCATTGAAAGTTAAAAGGCCAAGCAATTTCGATCGCTGATACGAGCGCTCGTTTTAAGGTAGAAATAAATGTTTATCCTCTTATCTATGAAAAAAGATATTACTTTTAATCCTCGTAATCGACATTTATTTTATAATTTATATAACATAGTTTGAAAAAAAGAGAAAATAAATCCCTCAGCACATAACGTAATAATTATTCTTATATAATTATTACGAAAACCGTGTTTTGAAGTCACTAAATAGACTAAGTATTGCAATTTAACATTTTGAGCTAAATTAGTGCCGGATAGTAGGGGAGAATGTTCTAAATCGGACCGTGTTTCAAGTCGGACCTTTTTAATTTAAATAAATGCGGTTAAGCAGATTTGCGTGCTATTTACAATGTAAAGTCCTTATAAGACACTGAACATGTGACAGCAGTTTGGCAGTACTCCGTCATAACGTTCATAGAATAGACGCAAATATGTATTTTTGGCTATTGTACGAAAATTTTTTTAAAAAAGAAAATCCTTGTAAATCATTATTTAAAAGATGTTAAAAATTTGGACGGTAATTGGAACGAATGTGGAATTCAAAAATATCAAGAGTTTTGCGATTACTTTTGCGGTTTATTGTAAAATTTGTTCCAATTATTCGAAAGAATCAAATCGGATCTATGTATACAAAAAACACTTAAAAGAGTAAGCAAGCTAATTCATCAAAGAATGAAGGTTCGCCACAACCTGGTTGTAGTACTGGTCATCGACCGATCAGATCTGGTCTAAGAAATCAATAAAATATCATGTTTCATCAGACTCAGATTGATGAAATTTTTTTTTTTATTGATTTTAATTCTAATAATATAAACTGTATTTTTATCTTCGAGTCTTAAATTGCTCGTTTTTACTCAATATTAACAAAAATTGATTAAAATATTTAACAATTCTATCTAAAAGTCCATAAAAATTGGAACTCATAGTTCCAAATCGGACCGGAAAATACATTTTTACATTTTCCATTATAGTTCGACATAAACAAGTAAGAGATACGTCAAAATGGTCTGAAGCAAAAATGAAGAAAATTAAATGATCTTTCCAACGGCACCATTGGTTTTATAATCGGACTTATAGAGAACAAAAACTGCAAATAGATCCGATTTACACTACTCTCCCCTATATATACACATTTTATGTAACTCTTTAAATATTAACTTGACAAAGGTCAAGATAATTGCATTAACTTTTGAATTTGAGGTTAATGGTGGACAAATTGTGATTTTTTTTATCTTCATCTATCTAGTGACTTTAGCGTTCTATTTTTTACAAAATTATTCTTCATTTAACATCTTTTCCCTCTCGTAAGGGAAGTTGATGATCGAAAGAGTTAATAGAACTGTTCGAGTTAAATTGATGTCAAATATATATGTATGTATGACGATGTTTCGAAATTCAGATGGTGACAATACTCCCCTTATACGTATCCAATAAAAGAGAGAGTCTAAGAAAGCGTGCAAATTAAACGTTCTTTCGGAATTATTTTCGTGCTCATGCGGGAGGCGGGCAGACGGCGGGGGTGGCTGGCTTACGAGCAATAATCTGGCTATTAGGGGGTGTAAGGGGTGACTCTGCGTGCTGCCAAGCTGAAGAGGGGCCAGGGATGGCAGCAGCCTCCTGCGGGGGTCCTTACAAGCGCGTAAACTCAGTTTTACTAGCAGTTAACATTTTACGACTCAGACGGTCTGCTCGAGCCGTTTGCTCTTGCTCTCGTTGCTCCCCACGTCTCTGTCTTTCTGCCACATTTTCCTCCTATTCCTTTCCCTCTCTCTCCTATCTACGATTGACACGTGTGCGACGCGCGGATCTGTATATAGGACACCCAGTATATATAAACTCATACCTGCTAAAACGTAACGCTCGTCGTTCTCGAGGGTTGTTTGCGCGCGAATGAAGTACATTAATACAACACCTTATTGAAAGAGGGGCTTATTTGCAGGCTAATTGCACGACTAATTCGTGTACCGCGAAAACGTTTAAACGATTAAAAGAAAACCATGTCATCTTGAAAAAAATGGTACGTTAACGTTAACCCTAATATCTTTGATTATGACGAGTGGTGAATCGCAGATATTTTCGTATGTAAATTATTAAATTGCTTATCAATTTAATATGTGATATTACGCTGCTCTGGTTCTATATTCATGTTTGCGTTTCTGCAAACGGTTTGCAGAATCAGGTATGTATACATAAATTCACACAGAAATATTTAAGCACTTAATAGTTGCTTTCCATTTACTCCGATTCTCAGATAATTCTCACTTGTGACGTCATAACTCAGTTGAATGCGCGTTCCTTTTGCATTCTGAGAAGTGAGATTCAACTGAGTTTTCACCTACAAACTGCACAAGATCGAGACCGTGTGCTTTATTGAGAGTCTCGTAGACTCACTTTAAAAGTGAGGTTATAAACCTGTGTTGTTATTTGTTAATTTTACCAAAGTAAGCAAGTAGTGACGTCATTAATCTGACAAGTATTTTATACTCAGCTCACTTCAGACTTAGTTTCACTCGTGTATAAATGGAAAGCAACTAATATTTATCTGTTTTAACAAACAAATAGGATTCCTCTTATTTATTGATTAGAGTCATTCTTCTCATTGAGAAGACTATTTTAAATTGTAATTATATAAGTCTTATATAAGTAAAATCGAATCCAGATCAAGCAAGCGACCAAACACACGAACGAATAACTCGCTTCGATGAATACGAATGGCATCGTAGCAGTAGCTCAGGCAACTTTAGGTATCACAAGCGGATTATAATTTCATGGGTCAAAACCTCGGTTCTAGTCATCGCCCGCTTTTGTAATAAATGTCGAGCTTCTCGATTACCTTTAACATCCAGCCTAGGATCAACCTCGTATTTCCTCCTTCACGTATCCGCTACATATTATCTATACTCCCGTTTGTCCCTTTCGCTATCCGCCGTCACCGTGTTGTTTTCCACCGCGAAAAGCGGGTAGCAGCCGACAACCCTTTGTTACCGTGCCTTATCTTAATTGCTTTCACGGGTTCCCGTTTAGATCAATACACACCGCCGGCGTTCTGCCACCGGTCTTCTCTGTTGCTATGCTTCGCTCCAGGAATCTAAATTATCCCGAGGGTTGTGTTTCGTCGCGGATTCCGGCCACTCTCTCTCTCTCTCTCTTTCTCTTGCATATTTTAAGAGCGCCGGTTGGTACCCCGCTGTA